CCACATGCTTTATGGGAATTAGCTGCCTCAGTTTTAGCTAGCATTCTGCAATTCAGTTCTGAATTTTATCTAGAAGTTCCTGTTGCTGTTTTGGTAAGGTTGCTGCATTCAGGTTCAGAGGGAACCGTGATTGGTGCATTGAATGCTCTTCTGGTATTAGAAAGTGATGATGGGACCAGTGCTGAAGCGATGGCTGAAAGTGGTGCCATAGAGGCTCTCTTAGAACTTCTGAGATCTCATCAATGTGAGGAAACAGCTGCAAGACTACTGGAAGTATTACTCAATAATGTGAAGATCAGAGAAACCAAAGCTACTAAAACTGCAATTGTACCACTATCCCAGTATCTCTTGGATCCACAAACCCAAGCTCAGCAGGCAAGGCTTTTGGCAACATTGGCTCTTGGTGACCTTTTTCAGAATGAGGTACTTGCTCGAAGTGCTGATGCTGTTTCAGCTTGTCGCGCTCTTGTTAATGTGCTTGAGGACCAACCAGCAGAAGAAATGAAAGTGGTAGCTATATGTGCTCTACAAAATCTTGTGATGTATAGTCGCTCAAATAAGAGAGCAGTTGCTGAGGCTGGGGGTGTTCAGGTTGTATTGGATCTAATAGGCTCAAGTGATCCTGATACATCCATTCAAGCTGCTATGTTTGTTAAACTTCTATTTTCGAACCATACCATTCAAGAGTATGCTTCTAGTGAAACAGTCAGAGCCATAACTGGTAAGTTCCCGAGCTCTGTTGGATTTTATCATATGTGTGGATGGCCAATACGAGAAGTCACTTAAAAACTGCATGTTTAGTTTGTGGAAGTTTCCGTTGCATATGATACCTACTTTGGTTATATTGCATGTCCACTTTCTTTTCTTTTCAAGAAGTATGATTCTGAAACCATATGGTAATAACATTTTAAAAGGGTCTATTCATTAACAGTTTGTCCTTGTTAGGATTTCAGTTGAATTTATGCTTCCAGTTTGATTGGTAATTCTAACTGCATTATCATTTTTTCTGGTGCTAGTAATTATGGACACTCTTTTCAAAAGATTTGAGCGTCACCATTACACATCACTCTTTCCCTGCTGTCATAGTCTGAAAAATATATTGACATTATGGCTGTTGCTCTACAGCTATATAAAATAAGCTGCATTGTAAATATCTGTTTTTTGCACCAATTTATTGTTTTACTGGGAAATAATCACAATGCTGCTTTTGTGTCTGAATACACCTTAGTTTTCTTTATCATGGGTGAAGGCTTTAGAAGAACCCACAAACAAGATATCTTATTCAAAGACCAGCAGTGCATTGAAATTTATTTGTTCTCTCTTTTCTCCATTTGCTTTCACTATGGTATTGATTACCTGTTGTTCCTTAGATGCCGTCCTCATGCAAGCTTTTGCTTCCATTATGTGTAACTTCTGTTCATATTTCGCAGCTGCTATTGAGAAGGACTTATGGGCTTCTGGAACTGTCAATGAGGAGTATCTAAAAGCTCTAAATTCTTTATTTAGCAACTTCCCACGTTTGAGAGCAACTGAGCCTGCAACACTAAGCATTCCCCATTTGGTTACATCCCTCAAGACAGGCTCCGAGGCAACTCAAGAAGCTGCTTTGGATGCTCTTTTTCTACTCAGGCAAGCTTGGTCAGCATGCCCATCTGAAGTTTCAAGAGCTCAATCAGTTACCGCCGCAGATGCAATCCCATTGCTGCAGTATTTAATCCAGTCTGGCCCACCTAGATTTCAGGAGAAGGCAGAATTTCTTTTGCAGTGCTTGCCTGGAACATTGGTGGTGATAATCAAGCGTGGTAACAATATGAAGCAATCTGTAGGCAACCCAAGTGTCTATTGCAAACTTACTCTTGGTAACACTCCACCTCGGCAGACCAAGGTTAGATGCTTCCATATTCTTATCCATCCTGTTTATCTGACTGTGAATTGAGTTCAGGAACTTTTCTTTCTGATTTTGTGAGTTATCACACAATGTTTTGGTAGAACTAAACATTTAGTTATGTGATTTTGAGTAGCCTTTACATCCCTACACAGCTTGAGCTTCTGCTCCTGGGTGCTTGTTAAGTGGCGTTGTTCCACATAAGTCAAATTTTGGCTTTGGCTTTATTGTGGTCTCATATTTAAATCTACTAATTGATTACTAATTTTAGGTTGGATTACATGTTATAGAATTATATTATGTTCTTTTTGTTTCCCTCGTGTGAGTTTGTTCACATATAGCCCTAACTGAGCTACATGTGGGAGGGAATATTAAGCAATATTATCCTATATCTGTGAAGTTTTGACTATTGAGTTTAATATCAGACATCTTCAAGTCAAGTCTCTCCCCCTATCATTATTTGATTTTAGGTTGGAAATGCTTAAGAGCCCTCATAACTACTAGTGCCCTAAAAAATGACTTTTATATATATATATATATATATATAGAGAGAGAGAGAGAGAGGTGAACTTTTAAATGCTGGGAGTATATGGATGCATAACATTGCTTTGATGTTTGGGTTTGAACGTTAAGCTAAAAGAGTAAAGATTAGAATGAAAGGGGATTTTTCTTTTTTCGATAATTACTCAGGAAGTACGGTTGACTCCTAAGCTTTGTTTATTATGCTGGATAAACAAATTGGAGGAATGTGTGTGCTGTTTTTTTGTGCTTGGTTTGAGAATTACCTGGAAGCATTCTTGTGCTCTTTATCTTTGGACCTCCCTTAAACATTAATTTCTGCTTATGCTTACTTATTTGTCACTTGTCAGATTGTATCAACTGGTCCAAATCCAGAGTGGGATGAAAGTTTTTCGTGGACTTTTGAGAGTCCTCCAAAAGGCCAAAAGCTGCACATATCTTGCAAGAATAAGAGCAAAATGGGGAAGGTGAGTATATCACAACTGATAACTATCATTGAGTAGCTGGATTTGGTTTTTTAAGAGAAATTTGAACTAGTCATACTTAGTTTTCTTTAATTGTTTCTAAACTTGATTTGATCTGTTACGAAAACAGAGTTCCTTTGGAAAAGTCACAATCCAAATCGACCGGGTTGTCATGCTTGGGTCAGTCGCTGGGGAGTATACATTATTGCCCCAAAGTAAAAGCGGGCCATCACGTAATTTGGAAATTGAATTCCAGTGGTCTAACAAATGAGAGGTAAATATTATTATTATTTTTGGCCGCAAAGTGACGATCGAGAAGGGAAGATACATTTTCGTTTTTACCATCCCAGTGTACATGGTCCACCGGATATTTTGACGTCAGTAGTCTACACATGTATTCAATCGTGAAAGTAAAGTATTCGTTTTAATTTGTAATATGATTATTTTCTTGCACTTCCCTGGGGGACAATCACTTTCTTGCTTTGTAATTCTTTGTGGGTGTGCTTTGTCAAATTTGAGCAAAATAAGGGCTTTGGAATTCAACTTGTTTTCTTGTATTTCTTTCTTTCTTTTTTTCCAGTTCGAAATTGACAGATACGTAACACAATAACACCATATTAATATGACATAACATACCAACCCTGTCACTTGATTATCCCTATTATCGGGCTAAGCCTTGTTACAGGGGCGGAAGTTGTATTTAATGCAAAGGGATACATTTTTAAAATTTGAGGGGATGCGTGTATCAAGTCTCCCTCGATCCATCTTTGGCTACTAATTATAGGGGCACCAGCAGTCGACTTATTCTTGTAGGCTCCCATAACCGCTCCAGCTTCATCTGCTCCTTTGGATATGTGAAGCGTCATTTCTTTTTCACATACTGTTTTCATGACATTACCATCTCCTTTAAAGGATCAAACAGAGGAAATTCAAATGGAAGAACTTGAGAATCAATAGCATTTGTAGTTGCGGTGGGTTTACACATATAAGCGGGCAAGAGTCTTCTTAAGTCTCATCCATATCTGTTGGAGCTCCATAATTCTTAATCAGGTAAAAAATTACCAGCAGGCAGGGTGCTACCTTTAGCATTAACAACACTCTATTCCATGATTTGTTTTCAGGGAATATAAAAGCTCCTCTGTTTATCGTCAAGCCAAACCTTAAACAGAAACCGGCCGCGCCTTCAATTTTCGTGATCCACGAGGTTTTGCACAACTTCATTTGTGGACAACATTTACTTCAGTTGTGCCATTGATAATCTAGTCAACTCTCATTGCCTCCAACCATATTGCTGCACCTTGTTGTCATATTACTTCTAGCATCATGCTTGCTTTCAGAAATTATTGTCGCGGAATCAAATGGTCAAGCCAAAATCAATAGAAATTCAACATCTACTTACCAAGTATGTAGCTCCTTAAAATAAATTAAAAGTTAAAATCAAATATCCATAACAAATCATGTAAATTGCATAAATATTCTAATTACAGCCTAAAAAGCCATCATCAAGAATCACATATAACATTTTCAATTGTAACCAAAATTATTATATATTGTCTAACTTTTAAAAATATACATGTTAACATTTTAGGTTAAAACCCGCCGTAATTTAACATTCTCGATTGTAATAAAAAATTACAAAATTATTATAGTTTGTGTGACTTTTAAAATAGACAAAGTAATATTTTAGATTAAAACTCGTCGCAAATTAACCTTTTAGTCCCACCACACAACAGAACTATCACAGCATTAGGGTCTTCATAAATTGTGAAAACAAGGACAATCATGTCAGCAACTATGTCCACCTCTGAAACTCTATCCTTGAAGACAGTCTAATTTGAAACTTTCAATGCATGAGAAATAAAACCATATTGATATATTCAACATATTAATCATATAAGAAAAAAAATGTAGCGAAATCTTAGCTCAATTATGAAATCATATATGACGTATAAAATGCATACAATATTCTTAACCTTATCATGGCTTATCTCACAAACGTGCAATCAAATATTTCAATTAGTATAAGTTCTAGGATGGGGATTCCAGGTTTAAGGCTCAACTAATTTCTACACCTTCCATATAAAAACTCGGCGAATACACCCCATTTTTTTTAACTCCATAATCATTCGTCGTGAAATTAAAAACAGCAGTGACAGAGCATCTTATATAGCCAAATGAAAGGGATTAAAATGTGATGAATGAACCATCAACTATGCAAAAGTATAATACTGACATTCTGCAATTTTACAAGGTCGTGCCCCCACCATCGGACATAAGAGATGCAGCAGCTGCAGCAGCCGTAGGGACTACACCGGTCGAAACACCTGGCTTTGACAAATGCAGCAGCCTGTAAGATCAAACATCAAAGCTTGTATGAGTTACATATATATGCAGCCATAAGATCTGTCAAGTTTGATCACCAGTTTATTCAGTGGCATACATAGGAATCATACTTTATAGTCACGATTATCAATCGTCAATAACCCAAGAATAAACAAGTGTATCAGTTTCTAAGCATGACGTAGAAATTGGATAAGATAGTCAAGTTCTGCATGATCATGCATCTTAAGAAGGTGGATAAATTTCTTACGGCGCAAGATATTCGCAGAAGGAAGACACAGCAGCAACGACTTCATTGTAATTTTCAGACGTTGCAGGGGCAGTGACTTCTACAAGCTGTATACCGGGCGTTACAGACACAGCATCATCTGTCGCATGCAGTTTTAGCATCTTACTGACAGATGAAACAGTTACGGTTATCTGAGCACCCCTTTGGAAACAAAAGGTGAATCCCACCCTCAGCAGCTCATGATCCAACTTGTACCCAAGCGCATAAAATAATCGAAGCACGTTCTTGCTTGCTTTGCTTTCTACCATACTCCTTACTAGAACAGAAATTTGCTCTGCCCCAGCACCCCGCATTGCACCCCCAACATGTTTAACAGTCCTATAGGAAATATAGAAGGCTTTATAATAAACAATCAAATACCCAAAATCAACGAGATCCATTAATTGGCAGAGCGGTCAAGGATGCTCATATTGTTCCACACAAATGTTCCACCTTGTGTGGGCTCGAATCTTGGCATTTGCCTTGGAAATGTAATTTCTCTCTACTTAATCAGAAATAAATACCCAAAATCAACAAAACTAGAAGCTTCACTTTACCAAGTAGGTTCAGGCTGCTCAAGATCACACAATAATTTGACTTCTGAAGCAACAAAACCTGTAAAATTCTTAGCATTAACAAAGCAGAACCTAACCATTCTTTATTACAAATAAAGCAAGAAGACATGAATTATACGATATAATTAAGCAGGAAACTCATTCACATTTAACCCAGAAGCGAAAAATGATTTCATCACCCGATTCTCCATTGACTTGTAAACATAATTAAAGCTGTTGAGAGAATGTGAAGAATTACCAAGATTTGGACCGCTTTTAAGGCAAATTTCATGGACCCTTAAGAGTTCTTTATGAACCCCACAAAGACCTTGAAGTAGAATCTCGAGTGCTTCAACATACTGCAAATCTCATAAAAAAAACAACCAAATCATCTTTGACGTAATCCTCAAAGTCAGTAAATTTCTAAAATTAAAAAATATATACCTTGGGTGTGAATTTTTACCTGCATCTCTATAATTCCTTGAACAACGCACTCCATTTTGACAACTTTTGCATTCAAATCTTATTTGATTTAAACGATGAAATGCAACTGGCGATCGATATTGGTAGAGCACTCTGCGAAACCCTTTCTCTGCTTACTGGATATCGAAATGGGCGTTGAAATGGGCCGTCACCGACCCCAGAACAAAATATGGGCTAAAACTTGAGATGGTTTTCGGATTTTGTCAGATAAATTATTTGGCCCAATAGGCTAACAAAAAATTTAATTTGCAATCTACAACATTTACTAGAATGACGAGCAAACTCATCACATAGGGGTGACAGTTTGTTCGAAAATATTTTTTTATTGGTCTATGTATGTAGGCTCTATGTGAGTCAATATTTTAATATATTTACTGGGACTTGTCATCTCAATATGAAAATTTTATTTTTTTTTTAAATTCATTAAATATTTTAAAGAAATATTTTTTTGAAAGATGGTACTTTGTATTACGAATAATTGCAAAGTACACCACCTCAAAAACCTCATTAAAAAACCTCTCTAACCTTAAGTGGAGAAAAAAGAGTGAACCAAGATGTGGAAAGTATCGAATACAAAAATCACACTAACACATAAGGCATACCCCAAGCCACAACCCAACTCAAACTAACACCAATACAAACCATGCAACAGAACGAAGACAAAACGAGCTGGACAACCATAATACTAATCTACAACGAACACAACAGCAAAGGAACATATCTAAATAACAGTAGAACCCCTTATCACCATACCTGCTAAAACACTAACATAGCACCATGACTTCAACATTCTTCCTCCCAGCACACAAAACTCATCAAACAAACACTCCCCAACGCCCTTAGAAGAAATAAAAAAAATAGTCACTCCCCAACAAAGATTAACACTTCTGGAAATACCACACATATTGCTCCTCCACTTTGGAAGCTTTATAACATCACTAACATAACAAAACCACGACAAAAAACCACAAAGACCAAAAGCCTTAGACCTCACGGCAAACTCTGATTAATACCATAAGCCCAACACTATCATCAATAGCCATGATCATGAGCCCAACAAAAGACGAAAACGACACATCCTGCAAATAGACTTCGAAAGTAGCACACATATTCTCCTTAGTAACACACGTGCCCCCTACTAGCTGCCTCCGAGACATAAAATGAGTCATTCTTCTGACAGAGTGAAACATGAGTGGGAACCGTATAACATTCTGCCTGGGGACTAAAACCATCAGCCCATACCTCTTCGTACAGAGAATAATCACCAGCAACCTCAGCATTTGTACTCCACGCTCCACCACTCTGCCTCCCCATTACAATACCCAACTACAAGAGCAGGAAGAACACATCACCCAGCTCCCCAAACAACGAAGGATTGCACCAAAATCAGATCGCAGAGACAACAAAGCATAACAAAAATGCATGATCGGAACGGACAACATTTCAAAGCAACACCAACGAGCAAATAACTAGCCATTTGTAGTCGTTGCACAACAGGTAGCTGTAACGGTCAGCATGGAACTTGTCACATCGAGGTGACGAGTTTGGTGAGTTTTTTTTAAAAAAAATGACCATTTATGCCTATTAGGTTTGGGGTTTAGGTTTTTTTTATTGTGTTTTGTTAAGAAAAAATTGAGAGAAATTCGAATATTTTAATTTTTTTTAAAATGTCTACATGCGATGAATGTTACGCCTCGATGTTGTTCATATTTCTTCGCTCGAGCTCGATCCGGAAGAAAAACGGGATATTCGTCAACGAGGGATGACTCTTAGAAATCTGCATCAGTGGATTATTATATATTTGTAATAATCTGCAATGTATCCAACGACATTTTTGTGTGGCTTCAAGGTGAACCCGACATTGATTACAACTCTGATTGAATGTTGGAGGCCGGAAAAGCATACTTTCCATTTTCAGAGTGGTGAAGTGACAATTACGGCTTACCAATTCGGTGTTTCGGTTAATGGTGTGGCGGTAGTGAGACACAACAGTTTCGACCAATTCAGGATTGTTCACCAGTTTTGAGAAAAATGACAACATCAGATGTTTTAGAGGGGTACCGGATACAGATCATTTGGTTGGAGTCCGAATTTAATGTGACAAACGACTCTACTGAGGTGGGGTGCTTTTTGCAGCCCGAGCGTATCTGCTCTAATTGATTGGAGGGATTTTGTTACTGGATAAATCTGGTAATTTGGCTCACATTCAGTATCTTCCGGTATTGGAGAATTTTATTGAGAGTCGCAATACTAATTGGGCTCGACGATTTTGATTTTTTTATACTAAGAACTTTGCAATGCTACAATCGTCGAACGAGGTCAAAAAGAGGATGTAGCAGGTTGTCTAGTCTTGCTACAATCATGAGTGTGATACTAGTTCCTGTTTTTAACGCCAATTAAAGAAGTCCTGATTGAGTTTCCTCTCACTGTAAGGTAATTTTTAAACATTATTTTTTAGTAAATTTTTAAATTTATTTTTTAAGATTTTTTTTAATTTTTATATTTTTTAGATGACGACATAAAATTAATGAGATCAAGCTGTCGGGTGTAACTAAAAAATATATACGAATGAGGTCCTTTATTCCATTGTGTTAATAGAAAAATTCAAGCTAGGTGGATTAGGTTTTTAAACTTTTTTATTAATCACTTATATTCGATTTATTAATTTAGATCATATCCTGCAAAGGTCTAATATGAAGTTATTCTTCAAATCCAATTTTTTCCTTACACAAATGCCAATTCCTAACTTTGCTAAAAAAAAATCTAATACTTCCAGTAGTGAATATATGTATTATCCAATGAAGGCACGTGCTTCTACTAAAACCTAAATTTATTTATGTTAATTGTTCATTTTATTAACGGTGTCCACTCTGAAATTTTATTTGTGTTTTCTCCACACGAGAAATTTTTGTTAGTAATATATATTTGTTCACCCTGAAAAAATAATTTTAGATCCGCCACTAAGTACTTCAACTCATTAAACCAACGAATCAGAGGTAATTTTTAAATTAGTTTTTAAAATTTTTAATTAGATAAATTTTAGATTTAAGGTCTGTGTATTTGCTAAATATTTTATATTTTTATTAAAAATACATGTGTTCTTAAATAGTTATTATATCGTATATAAAATAATTTTATCAATAGAGAAAAATAAATAGCATAATATTAACATAAAATTGATTACAAATAAAAGATGAGATATAATCTAATCTAATTTTATTAATATTTATAAATGAGAGAAACAATAATTTACTATAAGCATAAAGATGATAAGCATAAATTACATGAAATTCATTATATCTCAAAATTTAATATATCCAAAAATACTCTTCAAACATCTTACAAAATTCATCTTAGCAGCACAAATATTTATAGTTTAGGATCGCATGAATAATTATATCTCTTCAAAATAATTTTATCATAATTTATCTCAACAACATATTCTATATTTACAGAAAAAAATTAAACTTAACCCTTAAGAATTCTTACTCCATAATCATTTTACCTAAATAAACACAACTATTTTATATTTTAGATCATTGAACCTAACTTCAACGTTCATTTATATTGCAAACTTTAATTTAATCAAATTACAACATTTAATTTTTATTATTAATAAATTATATCATTTATACTAATATCTTTAAACAATTATAACAATCAAACTGAAATTGATACTTTTACTTAATATATTTTTACATATCGTCATCAAATAATGTTTAATTTATAGTCCAGGATAGACTCAAGATTTTATATTAAGGTCGCGAATTTTTAAAATTTTAAGAAATGATTAACTTACAAAATTTCATGTTAGGAAAATAGATTTTCAATATGAAATATATAAATAATAATGTTAAATTTACAGGGGCTATTACCCTCTCAATTCATCCGCTTAAATAATTTTTTGTTAGAATTTTTAAAACATTTCATTTAAGTAAATTTGAAGGAAAGAAGGAAAATTTTCTATAAACTTTAACATAAATGTTTCTAAAACCATTAATTAAACATCATTTAATGATAATGTGTAAAAATATGATAATTGATACTTTCAATTCAATTTTTTGTTAAAAAATATTTAACGGTGTTAATATAAATGACTTAATTATTAATAATAAAAATTAAATTAATTGTTCATAATCTAAATGAAAGATAAAATAAAGTCCATTAATATAAAATATAAATTACCTTAAACTTAATCAGTATAATTACGATAAATTCTAACTGATATATCGAAAATAATTTATATTACGAAAGAGTTTACCATATTACATTTCAAAGAAAATACAGCAGCAATGGCAAGTTTACCAGTTTCAGACTATTGCGCGGCAGCGGCATCACCAGAACCGGCTACTTCCATGGGTCGGTCTGAATTGAACAAGAGGAAGAAGGAGAGAGAGATCAAAGTCAAACAGAAGCTGGTTAACTGTGTTGTATTCCTTCGACCGTTTATTCCGTTTCCATAAATTCAACTATATAAAGAGTTCATACATGATAAATCAAGCATTTCTTATTGTGAAGGGATGTGGGATGGATTTTCTGGCATCTGACTTGATGGCTTAGGATAAGCTTTGATAACAAGAGGCTTAACCTTTTCAACAGTGCTGATAATTCCCCAAAACATGAAGCGATATATTACCATCATGCCTAACAAGATCGCAACATCAATCCACTTAGAGTATCCCATTTCCACTTGCCAAAAGCTTCTCAAGACCTCCTCACCAGTAACTGTGGAAGGTCCCCCTGCTTGATTGTTGGGGAATCTTAATCCTTCGAATTCGTTGATTGTTGGGGTACCTCCAAAACGGTTTTGGAAGATCGTCCGGCAACCGGAAGAAGCCGCCGTTCAACATCATCACCCCTTGGATACCGGCCCCCGTGATGATTCCCATGAGAAAATCCGGCACGATGCTTGCAACGGTCATCATTAAGCACTCCACCAGCATCATGGTGATGAAGAGCAATGCCACGAAGTAGGCAAAGTGATCACAACTCTTTTGAAGTCCAACCAAGTAATAGGCAAGAGCTCCTGGTACTAAAGATATCAAGAACAAGTAGGGGATGTGGATGAAATGGTGTTTCCGATGACGAATGCTCCGACCGCTTAATGTCCATTTAATCTTTCCCGACCGAAGAT